AAACTCTCAAATTCGCTCTGCTGAGCAAGAGAGGAATACCCGACAGCTTAGATCTCGCCGCGAAAGCTCTCAAATTCGCTCTACTGAGCAAGAGAGGAATACCCAGGGACATAGATATCGCCGCCAAAACTCTGCAATTCGCTCTGTTGAGCAGGTGAGGAATACCCAAGAGCATAGGTCTCGTAGAGAGAATCCTCAGATTCGGTCTTTTGGGCAAATTAGAAATACGATACAACATAGACAAAGCAGGAATACCCTTCAGCATAGATTTCGACCCGAAAATTCAGTAACTCGGTCTGTGGAGCAATCCAGCAATACTGAAGCTCGCAGAGTCCTGCGCAGCAGAAGTGAATACAGACATTTGGAACGATTACGTGATCGTACCCAAAGATACCAATCTCGATTAGATACTGGACGTAGGGAAAATGAGCGTGTTCGGGAAACTGAACGTCGCCGACTCACAAGAAGAGAAAATCGGAATGAAACGTCTGATTTGAGACGGCGAATTCAATGTCGAGTACGTATTCATAGAGTTGACGTAGAATATAGACAAATTGAAAATGAGAGGCAGTCAGAGCGAATTCGATCAATACGTGATAGTAATGCTGATAATGATGATTCTGAAAATGATGCAGGCTTTAATAACTTCAGACGCACTTATTTACAAAGCATTAAAATGGAGCCAACAATAGTTTGTATTTCCTATGGCGGTATATGGTTTCCACACCAAGTACGCCAATTAAACTTCAATTTAGTTTCCCAAAGCCACCCAAATGTTGCATCAGCCTTCTATCTTTTGGATAAATTTCCCTCCGAAAATGGGAATTTTAATTTTAGTGTGACTTGCAGAAATGCAATATTGAATAAAAAGCTGCCAAAGTTATGTCTCGCTAATGGACAGATTTTCCAGAAATACCTGATTGCCTGAAGAATCTAACACCTATAGAAGAGCGTCTTGTTATGCCCAGATTACCATTCATGACGATTCGCCCATTAGGGTATCAAGGGCAAGGTTCACTAAAAGGTGCTGTTGTAAATGTCCCTATTTCCGTGAATGACATTGTGACATGTCTTCCTCGATCGTTTGATCAAACACATGTCATTCAGGCGGGAATGTAAGACTAATAAAACTCCCACCTTTGATCCCCGTAGAAAACCTTCTTTCTTTAGTTCGTAGCCTAACCTTGAAACAGAGAACATATTTGACCCATATGCTGCACAAGATGAAAAATAATCAGCCATATTATGAGTTTGTGGGAGGTGGAGCAGGAGTTGGAAAGAGTCGTTTGATATATGCAATATATCAGACTCTTAACCATCGGCTAAACTCCGTTCCAGGAACCAATCCAAGTTCGTTGAAAGTTCTTCTTTGCGCCCCTACAGGAAAGGCAGCTTTCGGAATAAATGGTTTAACACTTCACTCTATCTTTTCACTTCCCGTAAATCAATCAAGTCTAGAGTTGCGGCCACTTAGCAATGATGTCGTTAACTCAATCTACTCAAAACTCATTGATTTAAAATTAATAATCATTGATGAAATATCAATGGTAGGGGCACGAATGTTTAGTTCAATCGATGCTAGACTTAAACAAATCTTCAAAAGCAATAATGAATTTGGAGGATCCCCATTATTCCTTTTGGTGATTTAAAGCAACTTTTGCCAGTTGGAGATAGGTGGATTTTTTCTCCCAATCCTAGTGACAACTACACCTTCACCTTTGTGGGAATTATTTAAATACTTTGAGTTAACTGAGGTAATGAGGCAAAGAGGGGATCAGCCTTTTGCTATCGTTTAAATAATATGGCATCCGGTACTATGACAAATGATGACATATCTTTAATCGAAAGCCGTGTGGTTAACTCGAACCAAATTCCTGATGATGCAATCCACCTTTTCTGGTCCAACGAAGAATCTAATAATTTCAATGCACTCAAACTAAGTCTTATCCCCACGCCAACTATTCTTTCAACTGCTAAGGATGTAGTCAAAGGGATAGGTGTGGGCGCGCAAGCTTCGAATATTTTGGAGAGAGTTCGCCTTTTCAAATCTTCGGAAACGCAAGGCCATTCATATAATTTGACATTAAAAACCACAGCCAAATATATGATCACTGTAAATATCAATACAGGTGATGGCTTAGTAAATGGGGCTACGGGGCAGCTTATGCATATTGATTTCGAATTTTCCATGCCATCATCTATTTGGTTAAAATTTTTAGAACCATCTGTGGGTTTGTTGGCGAGATCAAAAAAGTCTCATCTGGGTAATACTTCGTGGACACCAATTGAAAAGACAGTGAGAGCTTTTCAGTATAGGAGGAATGAGCAGATTACAATCAAAAGAACCCAATTTCCGGTTGTTCCCGCTGAAGGAATAACTATCCATAAAAGCCAGGGTGCTACGTATAACAAAGTCGTTGTACACACCCGGCCCAGGATGCCCAGGGCAGCGTTGTATGTAGCTTGCAGCCGAGCCACTAGTGCAGATGGTCTCTTCATACAAGGGAATTTTCAGCCACCTAATCCATTTTCAGCATCGGACCCAGTATATAAAGAACTTATTGAATTGAGTACCTCAAAAGCCCTTACTCCAACCTTCCACTTCATGGTTTCACGAACATCAATACTACAAATTTTATATCATGATGCTATCTTCGGATATTATATGTTTCGTCGAGACATGGAGCTATCCTTCGGAAAATTTTGAAATTCCTAGTTTTATTCTATTAAATGAGGTAAGGATACACAACACGGAATAGGAATATGAGAGGAATTTTAGTATATGCAAAGTCTGAGATTGCTTCATCAATTCAACTTTGCAGAATTATAAAAAAGTATACTGGCCATAAGGCTTTAGAAGCCGTACTATTCAAACATCTTAACATATATGCATTGGTGCTTTACAGGAATTCCGTTTTTCCTATCGGAGATATGGCAGCAGTGCTCCGAGACATTCTCAGTAATGACTTGTGTAATCAAAAAGTTATTATTGTCGGGGATTTCAATCTATGCCTTAGAACTTATGGGAATTGAATAGCAAATCTTCTAGGAGAATGTAATCTTAGATCACTATTAGATTCGGAATGTTCGACAACTCTTGCAGAATCTCAAATTGACTGGGCGTTTTCGAACATAAATGGTACTCAAATTAAAGCAGTTGTATATGAAACAGTTCACAGTTACCATGACAGTATCTGCATTTCCGTGTCAGATTTAATTCCTTCCTCTTAACCGT